CTCACAGGATCTCTTGCGACAGACTCAAAAATCCTCTGTGCGGACAATTCTGTGATTCTAACTTTCTATGTAAATTTGCGACCTCTGCTGGATCTTTCGATTACTTGAGTGATTCTCGGGTGGAATTCACTCCGGAGAAACAGGTGGCATCTTTTCAAGATGCATCATGCCAAAAGCTTTGCTGGTGGAGCTTCACCACATAGATAGGAGCCTGTCATAGGGAAAAAAATCCAGAAACATCCAAAGACTGTTCCGAACCACCCTCCAAAAAAGTAAACAAAAAACTTGCGCGATTCACCCTGAACAGCCTCCGAGAGCTAAAAATGCCGCTGGCCGCTGGAGCACCCAAGAGCTTCCAAGAGCTTAGATCTTCGGCTGGCCGAGCTTTGCCTTGATGGCATCCTGGATGATGTTGAGCAGCAAGGAACGCTTTGCAGGGTTCTGCTCCATCTGCTGGGTCAGATCTGTGATGGTCTTGTACACCAACAGTCCATACCTCTCAGCATTGCGGACCTTGACGTGGAGGGCCTGGAAGTACAGCGGAACCTGCTCCATGAAGAGGTCGTAGGTGTAGCTAGTACACCCCTTCAGCGTGCAAGACCCCGTGTTCGGGTTGAACACAGGGTTGTCCGCAAACCGAACTGCGTCCACCTCGAGGGCTTTCTTCATCATGAAGCGAACCATCCTCCTCCCAGCCACTGAGCGCCGAATGCTACTGGGCGTTGGAGCTTCCTGGGCCTTCTTGGCAATCTTTGCCGAAGCCGCTTTCTTCAGAGCTGCCCCAAGCTTCAACTTCGGAGGTTTCCTCCTTTTCTTCACATTCAGGCCTCGATGAGGCGCTGCCGGGTGCTCCTCTGATTGCACCTTCAGGATCATGTCCTCCGATGCTGGGGTCAAGAAGAAGTGGCCTCGATTCACCGCAGTGCGCTGGGTGTCCACATCCAAGATAGCCAAAAGATGCTCCTGCCCATACATCCACGTGTTTGGCGAGGGCTCCCAATAACACTCTTCGTCTAGATCCTCCTTGGATTTCTTGTGACGGACAAGCATGGTGGCCCTGAAAGTCTTCAAGGACTGAATCGGAATTTCTTGGCTGATTGGACGTGGCTTCTTGCCACAGGGCCAAACTGTATGGACAAATGCTGGACATGGAGGCACAGTCGTCCCGAGGTTGAGCATGACAACTTTCCCAATCCTGCAAAACAGGTGACAGACAGGTTTATGAAATGGCATAACTACACGGAATACTGTACATGGTGATTTGAATGGCGAGAAGTGCATTGTATAAACAATCCGTTCCATTTCATAAATGTCAAATCTATTCAAATCTAGCAGGCCAGCTATTTATAAAATGACATTGTTTCACACACTGGTGGAAGATACTTCTAGAGGGTTATAGCTTCTCGTTTTATAAACACCATATTCTATTTATTGCTATACTATTTAACTAATATTCTTATTCCTTAAACTTCAACAAGATACCTTTAAAAAAAGGCAGCAAACAATATTTTAAAAAAAAAAACATTTCTATCACAAGGACAAGGCTCTGAATCTTCTCAGGAGCTTGCCAGCCAGCCCGATCCCGCATAGTGCTGGAATGCTGAATCCACTTTGAAATCCGTGAGCCCCTCTGTCCAGCCATCATCTCATCCTGATTCATCCGAATGTCCTTCAATTGGTGCTCCAAATTCCTGCAGCATGTCCAAGACAAAAACATACAATTACAAAAACAACTAAACACATTATATATATATATACTGCAATGCAAAGTACAAACAACATCAACAAATACAAGCAACATCAAACATCGTCACACAATACGTAGCAACAACAACAACAACAAAACACTGTACCCTGTTTAAAATCCAAAGGTCTGGTGCCAGTTTAACTTCCTTGCTCGATATCGAACTTCTTCTCCGCCACGAAGGTAGAGGTTGTCCATTCCGGACGGGCCACATCGCAGATGCAGGGCCAACTGCCAAATCCCCGACCACCAATTGTCAAGAGCCAGTGCCTGCACTTGCAGCTTGAGAGAAAAGGAACAGAAGTAGTATGATATGAACATATATGAAAATAAGTAAAGAAAAGGAAAAAACAACAATTGAATACATATGAAAACAATAGAAAACATTTATAAAATGACCAGCTAGTGTTTGGATGGTTTCTGAGAAGCCCTGTGCAGTTCCAAACGATTTTATAAAAGACATACCCTTCGCATCCCTTTGCCAACAGAATCAGCTAGAACCGTGCCTCAGCCAATGTCTTGGGATAGTTCTGGCTTTCATCGGATCTCGGTGGCAGATTTGAGGTAAGGTCCACAAGCTGCTGTCCATCTGGCAGTGCTGCATCTGGATCTTGGGCAGTAGGCATTTCTGTCTGATCTTCTGCTGCGTCTCCTTGTTGATCACGTTCGTGCTGATCAATCTGCTCCTTTGCAGCGCGCTCAATGTGGACCAAAACATTCTTCAGCTGGTTGTGGTCGGCCTCAGTGACATCCTGCATCTCCTTCGCAAGGAGAGAAAGCTCCAGCAAATCCTCGCCCACCATGTCTGGCTCATCAAAGAAGTCCCCAATGCACTCTGTCCTGTACAGCTTCTCCAGGCTCTGTACATCAATGTCAGAGCATCGTGAGACCAGCAAAAGCGACGCAGCAAGGGCGCGCTTTGCACAGGATCTGATCCTCAGAATCTGCAGGTTCTGGGATTTAACAGAAACGCGTTTGATTTGATTCCTATGTGACAAAACCACCATGAATCTTACATGTGACATCATGTGACTACATTTCATAAATACATATAAATACTGCACATCCACGTGTTTCCATTTTATAAATCAGCAACTTGCGGGAAACCAATTTATAAAAGGAAAACATGCATGTCCCAGACCTATTCAATGGGTATGCGTTTCCATATGCTTCCTATTGTTTCCATTTGTTTCCATTTGTTTCCTATATTCCTATATGTTTACCACAGATGTCCATAGATGTTTTACAAAACTGATCAAAACATATCAAAACATATAAAAACTGGATTTTATCTGAGGAACTCTGGCTCAAGCAAGGGCTCCTCCACTGTCGGCTTGACATGGTTCTTCGGGGATTCATGCTTCTTGGCCATCTTGCGGCTATTGTCAGCCACGGCATACCAATAGTCCCTGGCCGTCAACTCGCTGTTTGACGCTTGCCCACGCAACTGGCCAAAGTGGCGCTCGATGTGAATCTCGTTGAGGCCATGAGACTGGCGCCACGCGTCCCACTCCCTTGGCTTGCCTATGGTCAGGAGGGCCGTTGTAAGCGCCACATATTGTAGGTTGCGCCTTGTTTGGCCTGCTATTTGCATCCTTCCACGGCCAACATGGTACTCTTTCTCTCTTTTGGTTGCCACAAGTGCCCAAAGGTCAAAAAGTAGGAAACCACACAATGCGCTTTCCAACCGCTGAATCGAGCTCATATTGCCGTGCACCGACGGTGCCTTGTTTTCCGAGCTTGTGCTGAAGAATTGCTATATCCCACCCTTATTTTATAAACCTTTGTCTATAGGTATTTCATGGTATTTCATGGTATTTCATTTTATAAATACAAAATCCATCAAAATCTCTGATACTGTGAAATGATGTGAAATGAGAACACTGAATGATCAATCTACTCAACAGTTTATAAAATGACGGCCTACTATCATCCCTGACGTCGAATATACAACTAGCTTGTTAAATATATTTCATAAAAGGCTTGAAGCATATCCCAACACACTCTAACAAACTCTATCATACTCTAATAGAAATCGAAACGTTACAAATGACACTAAGGTACCACCGCCAGGGCTTGACTGACATTCCACAGCAATGCTCCTCGCAGATGCCAGGCCACATCCACACTACAGCGCTCTGAAATCATGTCCTGAGAAGGAGGTATGTAACAAAAGTAAAGTCACTCAAAGAAAGCAAAAGACACCACAGGATGACAAAGGCATAATGAAATAGATTGAAATAATACCAAACAAATCCAAGTAGCATCACTATGGATAAGGAACAACGGGTGGCTCAATAGTGAACACAGCCTGTCTGACATAGCGTCCTTGCGGCTGTACGCTGGCAGAGGCAGGTCATTCTGGAGAGCTCCCGAAAAGTCACACATGAAGTGGCCGAAGAAGACAACTTTCGATTCTGAGCAAACCTGTGATGCCCCATTCTTCAGAGCATGACTTGGTCCCTGTAATGCGAATATCTGCTCTGTCTTGTCCACAAAGCATGTTTTCATTGGAAAACGCGGCAAGTCCTGCATGCCTGGACACTCACTGTACGACAGCTTGCTGAAATACTTCAGATCAACGACTTTGCGGCGAAAGGAGTTGTCCATCTGGCCATGGATGATTGATCGGAGTACCTGGTTGCAAGCTTCTCCATCAAAGAGAAGAACCCGGACATAGTCGTGGGCATAGTGCAGCAGTTCATCCAGCATTCGAAGAACCTCCTTGGACAGATCAATGACATCCAGCAAACAAGTTAACTCTCCAATAAAATTGAAAAAACTATCAAAAACACATTGAAACACTATTTACCGTAGAACAAAAAGCAAAGCATAACCAATCAAAAGCAAGCCGCCCAAGAGCTTCCAGCCTGTGCTGAATTCAACCATTTCAAAGCCAATGGTAGGCTCATCACACTCCATGGGACCAAGCAGCTTGAACTTGGATCCCACATAAGGCACTCCAACCTCATTCAATAGGCAACTCATGGCAACCCAGGCTTTTATAAAATGACTTATGGTCACCCAGGCTTTTATAAAATGACTTGGGCAATACATTTGTCCTGGATTTGTCAGCTTTTTTGCTGGGTTCCACCCACTTGATAAAAACACAGAAACTGATCAAAGACATTCAAAGACTATCAAAATCATTCAAAATCATTCAAAAACTGTCAAATAAGGATCAAAAAGGTGCGAAGGACAGGTTCTGTTGGCCTTGGTTTGTTCAGTGAAGCCACACCCTTTCTCACAGTCAATCCGTTGGAAACAGCCCGGAAGGTCATTTCCAATGTCGCTCATCTGAAAGGGACTGCCCACTAGTGCCTTGTGTCCGTGCAGCTGAATGGACATTTGCATCGGGTGCAAATATGTGCAATCCAAACAAAGCACAAAGCGTCGACGCCCGTCATAACCTGGACAGCGTGGCACTGCTGCATCTATCAACGCCAGATTCTGAGGCACAACATCTGGAAAGATAAGTGACAGAGCAGGGTTTGGAAGGCTGTCTGACAAGAGGTCGTCCAATTTTCGGTGCGCTCGAAGAAGGTTGCTTTTTGAAAAAACCCATGGACCGCAAGACAGATGTGTTCGCTCCATTCGATGCAAGGAGAAGACCAGCCTCAGTCATAATGCTCTGTTCCAGATCACCTTTCAATGTTTTGCTGAATCTGCTGCCTCTATCCTCTGCCTCACTCTGGTCGATGCATCCCAGCATGATCCCCAAGGCAGCAGGGTGGCCATTCAACCTGCCGGATGTAACAGCTTTGGCAATCTTACAGTGAATGGTGGCCATCTCCGTCATGTTTCCTGTTGCAAGTTTGGCTGTCCACTCATTTGTCAACTCTCGTAGCTCTCCACTACACTCTGCCACGTTGACCGATAAGGCTGGCTTGACAGTGATATCCACAAACTGATGAAGCCTTGGTTTTGACAAATAAGGTAGTTGTTACAAGCTGTTATTATTTATGAAATGTTTTTTGTAAGTCATCAGGAATGATGAGAAGGTTTGGCCCATGGGCATAGATTTCATAAACAAAAACATAAACAACAACAAATATCAACAAATAGTAATAAAACAAAATCACATCTTATAATATGTTTGATTTGCAAGTTTAGCCAGATTTCCTGTGTTCATCACTGGTTCTGGTCATTTCATAAACCAATTTAATGTCTCCAACAAAAACAAAACCAATCAAACCATACCAAACCATATCAAAACCATTCAAAACCATTCAAAACCATTCAAAACCAATCAAAACCGAGAAACACATCCGTGTAGCACGAACTTGGCAGTTTCAACCAGGAGTGGCGCACCCATCTTTGCAAGTTGGTGTTGCTCTGTTTCAGGATCTCCTCACATCGTTTCTGTTGAAGCCTGAAGAGCGAAGTAGAACGGAAATCGTCACACAACTTCTCGGCCACCTCTGGGTGCTTGAAAAGCCTGGCTGCCAGGATTCTGGCGGCCCAGTGCTTCAATGCAAATCGGATTGCACTCTTCAAAGAGCCTTTGTGCAATATAGGGTCCTTGCACTTGAAGCAAATGTACCTTCCCTCAACCTGTAGTGTGGTCACACTCTCGCAGTCCTGGTGGTGCAAAACCAGCTCTTCGCTTCGCATGTTGTATGTGTACCTATGCTTGCTCAAGTGTGATGCTATCACAGTCATTCGTGTCCAAAGTAGCAGTTCCTCCTTGTAGTATGAAGATGTTGAGCTCCGAGAAGTCAGGCATAGTCCTTGGCATGCATACATCTGCTGTGGGGCTTCTGGGCAATCCAAAGGCTCAGGCTCCATAACATCAGACTCTGCCGTCTGATTCTGAGAACCTAGAATTCTTGCCAGCGATGCCAAATGAGTGCTGCCCTTCAGATGTTGTTTGACGAATGTGTCTACCACATTCTTCCTGGCATAGTGAGCCTCGAACACTTTGCCATCTGGTTGACTTCGGGATTTGCAAATCAAACACTTCACAGGCAGTCGTCTATCATGGGTGTTTTCGGGAAGTAGCTGCAAGTAAGGGCACCTGTTGACAATGCCAAAGATATCTGACGAATCCTCTGCCTCTTCCTCATCCTCCTGCCACTTGCGCATATTTACGCATGCTTATAAAATGGGTTGAATACCATCACAGACACAACACCACACTGGGTTGTATGGTGCAACATAATATTTATAAAATGGAGTAGTATTGAATTGTGTCAAACTCTCTGAACAAAATGCCCCATTGATGCATTTCATAAAAAGAAAAACGGTTACTGTAACACACTGTGGGTTGAAATTATATGCACTTTCCGCTCCTCCTCATTCTCGGGATTGTCTTCACCTTCAGCTGCTGGGTCCGGTAGCGCGACCAATTGCAAAGCTTCTGGTTCACCCACGTCCTGTGCAGGCAATGGATCTTCCTCAGTGGCTATTGGCACAGTGGTGTCCTCTGGATCATTGAGGAACCTGCTCATGTCCTGATTCATTTTCCTCAGCTGTGATATGCCTGGTGTGTCTGGAAAAAGCTCTCGGTCCAGTGAATTCGCCAAGCAGTCTTGCAAAACCTCCATCTCAAAACCTTGACTCTTGAGCATGGTGAGGCATGTCGAACAGGAAGGTTCCTGTTGCTGCAAAAGCGTCTTCTGCAATGCATTGAACTGTTGGCATTTCTGGGAATTCGGTAAACCCATTCGGCGATGGTACCTTTGGCAAAAGGCCCAAGTAATCTGCAAGGAGCCCAGGTAAGCCTTCACGGCGCTCCGTCTTCTATCATCGTCAGTTCTCTCCTTTGCCTTGCATGTCCTACGGCGCTTCTTCTTGGAGGCTTCCTCTTGCTTCTCATCAACCTGGTCATCATCACAGTCATCCTCCTGGGATTCACCACCATCATCCTCCTTGGCATTCTTGTTGGTGTCCTTCTTGGCATCCTTTTTGTTCTTCCTCTTCTTCTTTCGGCTAGTTTCATTGTCAGGTTCTTCAGAAAACAAGCCATCCAATGTTTTCTTGAATGCTTCTCGTTTGCGTTGGGCACTGACCTGCTTGGAATCAGTCCTTTGGAGAATCCACTGACCTCATCAGGCTGTTTTCCAGCAGCAGAAATCTCTAGCTCTGGGACAAAGCGCTGTGTTGGCAAGGCTCCAGCCTGTTCACCGACTGTTGGCAATACTCTTTTTGGAGGAGTCATCAGATCAATGAATACGGCAGGTCCAGGTTTGCGCTTTTTGACTGGAGTCTCGTATGATTTCTCCTCTTTTTTTCACTGGTCCAAGTTCCCTTTTGACAGCTGGAGATTTGCCTGGCTCAGGGATAAGAGCTTGCTGGAATAGTTCTTGCCAGACTTTGTCCTCAGAGACCTGCAACCAATACGATGCCAAAGTTTTCCGCACCTCCATACATGCTTGTTGCACGTCTGCATCTGCTGTAGGAATGAAGGGATCCTGCTTCATGAGGAAAAGCAGCGTCCACGCAGCACAGTCTCCATCACCTGGCACATTGGCTGCTGCAAGATCACTCTGCTTCAGCCAGTCTTGGGCTTTCAAGAAACCTCTTGCCTGGCTGAGACTGTCATCGACTGTTTTCTTGACCGCCATTGCTGCTGCTCCATTTGGTTGTTTGGAT